CACCCTTCCCCTTGGGGATGGTTACGTGCTTATGGAACTCACGACTGGTTGTATTTACTTTATAATTGGACTTGAAGGTGTACATGGAGTTGTCCTTATCTCCTGGGACTTATCCTCACCAAATTGGACTCTCTCCCGTCTAACTGGGAAACTGTAAAGGCTCACTATACGGCAACAAAAACAGGCTTCTTGGTGGTTCTACCTGCTGGCTAGGTTTTCCCCACAGGCAGCCATAATCAATACCAAGTTACAAGTTGAAGCCTTAGCCAAGCACATGGCTGCAGCTTTCAATAATACACGCCATGTCCTTACCCTCCTAACTGAGGAAACTTCTCAGATTAGGCAGGTGGCCTTACAAAACCATGCGACTTTGAACATTTTAACAGCAGTCCTGGGGGAACTTGTGCTTTGATCAAAACCGAATTTTGGACTGGGTGTGGTGGCTCATGCCTGTAATCCCAGTACTTTGGGAGGCCATGGTAGGCGGATCACCTGAGGTCGGGAGTTTGAGGCCAGCCTGACCAACATGGAGAAACCCCATCTCTACTAAAAATACAAAATTAGCCAGGCACGATGGTACATGCCTGTAATCCCAGCTACTCGGGAAGCTGAGGCAGGAAACTTGCTTGAACCCAGAAGGCGGAGTTTGTGGTGAGTCAAGATCACGCCATTGCATTCCAGCCTGGGCAAGAAGAGTGAAACTCCGTCTCAAACAAACAAATAAAAAACGAATGGTGTGTGTGTGTATCAGACTATTCACATAATATTGCTAGGGCTATGAAAACTCTAGACACTCATATCTCTGCCACTGATGCACTGTCAGTTGACCCTATATCAACTTGGTTCCAACCACTACCCAGTTCTTGGAAGCCTTCCTGTTTAGTTTACTTAGGATGATTTTACTTATTTTGCTTTGCTGTTGTGGAATATTTTGCAATTGTACTCTTTGTGTGGGAAAGCAAGACTAGCTTACTCAATGCTTTCTTAAGTTGGACACATTGATTTTCCGGATTTCTCCTTTTGCTGGGACTCATTTATGAACCTTCACCATACCGATGCTTTCTGACTGAGTTCCTCTCTAACTTGAATACAAGAGATTCTAACAGTTAGGCAGGAATATCATCGTCCCTGTTCAGCCTAAGGAAGTTACAAAAGACTAATCTTTGTCTATCTGCCACCCTTAGGATTAAGGGTCTTCTTGTAAAGGAAGTGGGGAAATATGTCAGAGGCATTCAAACTAGAGTGACTCCATCTTAAGTGAGGGCTAAGAAAACGTAAGACTGGGACTTGCTGGGCTGCATTCCCAGAAAGTTAGGTATTCCTAGCCTCTAGAAGTTTACAGTTAAGGGAACAGATTGATAACATGTACTAAACAGACCCAGGCTTAGGAGTTTCCTGATATCCCAATATCTAGAGAACAGAAGCATTCCTAATTTTGCTTTAAAGATACTAATATCAATTCTTGCAAAACGTAGTAATTAAAAAAAATTAAACCTTCTTCACAAACTCTTGTAGCAGAACACATCTCCTCTTGATCTTTTTTTATCTTATACATAAACAAGCATCGTACCTAGGGTGAACACGTTCCTCCTCTTACTTTCAGGAACGTCCTACTTTGTCTATGGAGTAGCTGTTCTTTCACCACTTTACTTTCTTAACAAACTTACTTTCACTTTGCACTGTTGACTCACCCTGAATTCTTTCTGCTTGAGATCCAAGAACCCTCATTTAAGGTCTAAACTGGGACTCCTTTCTGGTAACATCTTTCGGGCAACCATGAAAGGAAAATACTGAGGAGACCCCCAACCCAAAGGAAATAAACTGAAGTACCAATTAGCTGACTTTGGTTAAGTGGTTGGGTACCCGGGTAAAGGATGGGATTGGGTGAGAGGCCCAACTTAGGGGAGTTAGAGTCTCCCCTGCCAGAGAGAGTTAAAGTCCCCTTTTAATAAAAGGCAAGGACACTTGACCGAACCTGGGTTCCAGGCCTAACTTTGGAAGGTTAGAGTCCTTCCTAAGATTTATGGGGTTAGAGGGCCCTCTCAGCAAAGTTCCTCTTGGCTAAGAAGAGGTTTGGCGCCAGGGGATGTTAGCTGCTATGCTGTGTGTATTTATCTGCCTTGCCTCTTTGCTACATGAATCAATTTTTTGGTCACTATCTCTGCTTCACTGTTATTTTCAGGAGATTTCATTTAATTGGTCTTAAGAGATTTTGACTTTCTGTTCCCCTATATGTCTCCTGATTTACATCCGTTTGCTTGTGAAACATTGGGAACAAAAACACTGAAGGTTCCATCTCTAAAATTGCTGATGGAGGTTTGGCATTTAAGCAATAAGATTACATAGATGTGACTGTGTTTTGTTTCTTAATAAACTTGCTTTGGTTTTGCACTGTGGGCTTGCTCTGAACTCTTGTGTGAGGTCCAAAAACCCTCTGTTGGGTCTGGATCCGGACTTTTTTCCGGTAACACATTGGTCAGGAAACTTCAGTCACTGTGGTCATTGCTGTTTCCTGCTGACGGCCTCTCAAAACTGTGATGTATCATGTAGTAGTATTCCCCTACTTCCTTCACCCTGTGACCACCACCTCAAACTGGCTTGTGTCCCACTTCCTGCCATAACACTTTCTACAGGAGACTGCCTGGTACTTGCAACTTCTCGGCAATTTGGTGTGAAAAACACAATTTTCATATCTACTTGATCTAAGATGGAGACCCAGACAATGTCCATGGAGTTGGTCTTAGGACCATGTTTCCAAAGCCTCCATAACATTTAATCCCTGCAACACTTCAGAAGGCTCATTCCGTTGTTATCCTCATCCTATAGAAGGGGAAACGAGGTTGAGTGAAGTAAAGAAACTTGCCCAAGATCACAGGGACAGAGCTGGAATTTACTCCAAAGTCAATCTGATCCTTTGAAACTTGTCTTTAATCACTATGTAAATAAAAGCATCTCTTTTATTCTTTTCATGTTCCCTGTTCTATATTAGCAAGAGCTAAGTAGCCAGTACAGCAAGCTCCAATGTTAGAGGGTGAGAACTTTGTCTAGGTTTAAGGAGTGGTTTTATTGAACCCTTGGGTGCCACTTGCAAACATTTTCCAGTGTCCTCTAACTTGGGGTTAGGGAGTGAGGACTACCATTTATGCAGCTTCTCGAATGGATTGCATTTTTTACTTATATATAGTTTACAAATATTCTTCTTTCTCATCTCATTTATAATTAACTCACAACCTTGGAATTATGAAGAGATTATTGTTTTAACCTTTTTAGCTGTGAGAAAAGCTCACAGAGGTTGTTTCTTGCTACTTAAAGGTTGTTCCCTTATTTACCCAGCTACTTGGGACAGAACTTGATCTCAAGTCCTGAGGCTGCCAGCCTCACCTTCTTGCCTGTGCTAGAGGCAGTTACCCAGGGTTAAGAATTCCTGAATGAGTCCTGAATCAGAGACAAGTAGATACCTCATGCATGCACCATTGTCCTTCCTTTTCAGGTTGGTAGTATGGTTTCTTTTAGATTATTGAGGTCTTTCTTCTTTTTTTTTTTGGGGGGGGGGAATGAGTTTATTTATTTATTTATTTTATTGTACTTTAAGTTCTAGGGTACATGTGCATAACGTGCAGGTTTGTTACATATGTATACTTGTGCCATGTTGCTGTGCTGCACCCATCAACTCGTCAGCACCCAACTACTTTTTGACATGACAATTGTGTTGCTGTCCTGAAAACCTGGCGTGCTGCTGTCATCCTGGGGCAGTACTGAATACAGAGTTCCCCAGAGGGCAAACGCTCTATGAGGTCCCGTCAAAATTCCACTAGGAAGGATGCAGACTAATGCAGTTAAATCTTAAAAGCATTACATTTGGTATATTGCTATAAAGGATTGAAACAACATTAAACTTAGTGCTAGTTACTTCTATATGAAGGTTAGAACTTTGCGTCCAAAGTTCAATTAGAAGCTTCCACAGGTTAAGTAGTCAGCCACTCACTTTTTATGCTTCTGTTATGACACAAACTACTTGAGTTTTGAAAAACAAAATATTTTAGCCACCATTTTATTTACAACTTCATTAAGTTGTCAACAATTATATAAAAGATTATTTAGCAAGAGCAAACAAATGAGATCCCTTGTTAAGATAACTACAAGAATTTAATTTTTTTTAAAGTGAAAGCATGTTTATTAAGAAAGTAAAGCAATAAAGAATGGCTATTCCATAGGCAAAGCAGCAGCCTGAGCTGCTGGTTGGCTATTTTTGTGGTTATTTCTTGGTTATATGAAGGGGTGGATTATTCATGAGTTTTCTAGGAAAGGGGTGGGCAATTTCCTAGAACTGAGGGTTCCCTTCCTTTTTAGACCATATAGGGTAACTTCCTGATGTTGCCATGGCATTTGTAAACTGTCAGGGGGCTGGTAAGATGTCTTTTAGCATATTAATGTATTATAATTAGTGTGTAATGACCAGTGAGGATGACAGAGGTCACTCTCCATCTTGGCTTTGGTGGGTTTCAGCTGGCTTCTTTACTATAACCTGTTTTATCAGCAAGGTCTTTATGACCTGTTTCTTGTGCCAATCTCCTATCTCATCCTGTGACTTCGAATGCCTAACCTACTGGGAATGCAGCCCAGTAAACCTCAACCTCATTTTACTCAGCCCCTATTCAAGATGGAGTTGCTCTGGTTAAAACATCTCTGACATATTTCTCCCCTCTGTATTTTTAAGGAGGTAAATTTGAGTAGTAAGGAATTTCTTGTAAAAATGGCAATATATATCAGTGATTCTCCCATCAGGGGCAAGACCATAGTTCGGTAAAGCACATTGTTTACTAGGTGAGAGCCAAGGGGAGTGATAGCAATCACCACATAAAATTAGGCATAATTCATTGTTTGATTTATGTGTATAGCAGATTGAAAGCCCAGAAAAAAAATTGAGAAATAAATATTGATGTAAATCATCAGATTTTTCAGCAAAGATAGTCCTTGTTTCCCCCAAAATAAAACAAACATTTTATATTTTTAAATATTTTATTTTCTTGTTCTTTGTGAAAACATCAATAAATATCGAAACCTCTCTGTTCTAACACAGAGGGAAACACTGCATAATTAACATTAAACAAGGCAGTATGCCTTACAAGAAAGACATAAAATGTCCAAGGGATATTTAGAACATTTTAGTTCTTAAAGCTTCAACATGAGAAATGTTGACCACACCCTGTGAAATCATTTCAATAAATAACAACTGACATTCATCTTTACAGTTACAAAAATAGATACACATACATTCCCCTGCCCTCACATTGATCTCACTGGCCATTTTCTTGGATCCCCCAGCCTCTATCACAGTGGCTGACGTTTGATATGTCATCCACTCAGAAATATTAACATAATGACTAGAGAATATCTGCAAACCTTCTACCTTCAAATTAAATATGAATCAGGATTGAACTAACTTGAGTTTAACATAAAATAAACAATAAATATAATGGGAGAGTGTGCAAGTAGATTCAATCATAACCTTATTTTACACGTAAAATGTTAACATAGAATCTTCTAAAAGAAACAAACAAATAAATAAATAAATAAATAGAAGACTTCTCCTGAGCAATGCTCAAACACATTAGGCTCAATCCAGGTGGCCTCTGCAGCTGAGTCTCTCTTTCCTCTTCTGTTTCTGTAAGGGCAGCTACGCCTCCAGGAACAGCCACCAATGAGCTTCCTCCTTCCTTCTGGTCAGTTGGATTTGCCACTGTAATGAGAAAATGGGTGCCCTGAGTAGGTGCTCAGGAAAGCTGATTGCACAACACTCTTCTCCTGTCCTGTTTCCCCAGACTCTAGAGTTTTCTGAATGCAGTTTCCCCAGCCTGGCACCCAAGCGGCTACTGCCTGTGATAGCTGTGCTGTGTGGCAAGGACCTCTAGGCTTAGGAATGGGGGTTGGGGGCGGGGGCGGCAGTCTCCACTGTATTACTCGCTAAAACAGCCAGAGCCTATTGCTCTTTCTCATACTGGGCCTCACTTAAGCCTCAAAGCAACCTCATGATGTAGCTACCACTATTTTCCCTGTTTTGCTGAGTCTGAGATAAACTAAATAATATTGTCTTTGAGTGACATGGCTAATAGATGGTGGCAACCAGATATGTACCCAGTGCAATATCATTGTGAAATCTCTGCACTTCATCCCTAAACTTTTACAAAAAAAACAGAGGATCTGCTTTTCAGGTCTGAGGTTCAGTAGGAACTAGGGGAAATGAAGCCTGTGTTTTTTAACAGGTGGGAAACACTCCAGCACAACCGGCAAACTTCAATGAGAAGTTTCATGAAAGCAGTTTTATCTACATTGGCTAAAACGAGGGAAGAACCTGGGTGGTGACCCCCGGCACTGGGAATATCCTCTGGCACCAACGCAGATTAATAACCTTAATGGCAACTTTGTGAAAATTATAATTTTTTCAGTCCTGCAGCTAACCCTTGGGTTTTCCTGATTGACTTTTTAGGGAACAGATGCCGGTAATTTCTGACCAACGGCTCCTGTCGCCTGTGTACATGGAAATTACAACTCACTTGTTCAGCATCTTTCCGATGATTTTCTTAACCATGGGGGATGCGGGATTGAGACAAGCTTTCTGCCCATTCTTGAGTGTGGCTCTGCAGAGAGAACGGAATCTCGTGAGACAGGAGGTCAGGCTGAGGACAGGGTTGGGGCAGCGGGAGAGTCGGGGACCCCGGCGGTGACAGCGGCAGCGATTGGCCAGACTTACATGACTTCGGTTTGGGCGCAGTGGGGTCCTGGGGCCTTCACATTCACACTTTGGATGTTCTTGGGGTGAATTCCGTGCAGGGTCTGCAAGCACTGGCAGCGCAGTTCAGTGACCAGGGGCGCTCCTAGGGAAGAAGAGACTCGTTGATTGAGCGGGGCTGTAGGCGCCAGGCGCCCATCCCAGCCGCTTCCGGCCCGGGGACCCCAGGGCTCCGGGACCCACCTGCTGCGCGCCGGCTGGCGGCCACCAGGAGCAGAAGCAGCAGCGCCACCCGCAGGAGCCGGAGATTGCTAGGGGCGGTGGAGAGAGCCGGGGAGGCCATGGGGCTCAGCAGGCGTTTCGGGCGGCTGTGCGAGGAGAGGGAGAGTTGGCAGGGAGCTGCTTGTGGCCTGGGTTCTGTGGCTCTCTGAGCATGGTGAACTCCTTTTATGCATGGCTGGGGCTGGAAAGCCCGGAGCCCCGGGCCAGGGAAATTCCCGGAGATCCAGATCGATCCCGAGTCCGGAAGGAAGGCGCAGCCCCGCCTTTGGGGTGGACTGGGGTGGGGGCACTCACGACTGAAGGCCAAGTCTGGCTGTCTTGCGTAACTCCCGCCAACTGTGGAATGTTCGCTTTCTGCTCCAAATCCCTGGAGGGGGAGCGAGAGCCCACCGCTCTCCGAGATACCGAGATTGCGCCTGCGAGGGGCGCTTGGTGAACCCAGTACAGTGCTTCGCGGGTCTGATCCCTTAGAACCACGTAGGGACCGCGCTACATCCTTACCGGGGGGAGTTACTTCTCTGGAAGACATTTCAGTTGTTGGGATTGAAAGAGTTAGGGCAAGAACTGCAGCATATCTTATCTATCTTGTCTTTAGTTTGGGTTTTGCAGATTTCATTCAGCTTTGAAACAAACGCACTCTTTAACAGTACATCTGCCATCTCAGATTACGCGTAAGAGCTTTTGTCTTCCTGACGTTTTATGATCTTAAAAACAAATATCACATGTGTGCTTTTTTTTCTCTTTTCTTTTTTTTTTTTTTTTTTTTTTTTGTTGTTGTTTACATAGTGGAGCCAGGTGTTGGGTGTGGGAACAGACAATTGCCAAGGGTCAATTCAGTGTTTATTCAGTGTTGCAATCCCCTATCGTTTCCCTCTTTGAAATTCTGGAACATCTCGAACTCTAGTAATTCCAGTAGCATCACTTTTTTGTTATATGGGAGGCTGTGTTTTGATCCATGGAAGTCACTGGGGAACTGGGAGGGGCCTGTTGGGCTCAGGAGGTCTGTCTTTTCTAGTAGTGTCCCTGGGCAGAAAAGGCCATAGACACCACCAGAAAAAGGAGCAGGGAATGAAACTCTGCTTGTTTACTCCTCTAAGCACAAGCAGACATATCTGATATATACATACTAGATTACTAACATAATTGCATTTCCATGCCATCTGTATTTACCAGCATCCTGGGATTGGTTCCCTCTAGAGAAACAGCTATTAAGGAAATTTCAGTTCTAGAGGAATGTCAATAAAGCATTTCCAAACCTGTTTAGCTGATGCCTTCTCACTGGATTATTGACTTTTCGTCATCAATTTCAATGTTCCCTCCCTTTAAAAATTAAGCTGTAGGCCTATAATACTCTGTCTTAATTCTTCCTGGTGGATGCAGACTTCAGGGATATGTGAGATATCCTGCCACTGCTATGAGAAAAGCTGGGAGTGGCAGGAGGATGAAGAAGTGGGACTGCCTTAGGAATAGAGTGTTCCCTGGATGCTGCAGCTGTAGAGATCACTGGATAAGAATATCAGGGCTGAAGTCTCAGCCATACCACTAACTTGCTTCATGACCTTTGGTAATTTATGCTTTATTTGTTCATGTTTCTCCCCTGTAGAAGGGCTTATAATAGTGCCTGCCTCACAGGGTTGTTAGAAGTATTGATTGTGAATATGTATAAACCATCAGTGCATGTAAAGTGTTATGTAAATATTTGTTAAGTAACAAAATAGAAGTGGTGTTTTACAACCGTACTCTTTCAAATTCAGATGTTGAAGCCCTGATGCCCTTACGTGCTAATATTAGAAGACAGGACCATGGGAAGTAATTAGGTTTAGGTGAGGTTATGAAGATATGGCCCCCATGCTGGGATAAGTGCCATTATAGCAAGAAATCAGTGAGCTTTCAATCTTTGGTTCTCTCTCCCTTTCTGCATTGTGAGGACACAGCAAGAAGGCCACCATCTGCAAAATGAGAAGAGGGCCCTCACCAACCATGAAATCTGCCAGCATCTTAATCTTAGACTCCCCAGCCTCCAGAACTGTGAAATAATTGTTGTTTAAGCCACCTAGACTATGGCATTCTGTTATAGCAGCTCAAACTGACTAAGACATTTACTAAACAGAAGCACTCTGATAAAGCCTTTTGAACACACACACACACACAAAGAAAGAAATATTTTCAAAGAAATATCTTCTAATTTATCTTTACAATTTTTCAACATCAGAAATTTTAAAGGAGGGTGTATTTATATCCTTATGGGCTCTTAGCATACTTTTTTGATCTATTGTTTGTTTGAAATTTTAGTTTCAATTACATTCCATATAAAATGAGAATAAGAGTAAAATTCTACCCTATCCATTTATCAGAAAAGATTTACAAAATGACTCTGCCTTGGGCATTAACAGCTACCTGCCCAAACTTCTTTATTTTGTGCTAAAGAACTAAAGAACAACATAAAACATCAGCTTATAATGATGGCCAGACCCATCCCAAAGTATTGATGTGAGTAAATCGAGTAAAATTTCTATTACTAGAGTAACAGCTCCCCCAAAACTTGAGAAATTTCAAGAATCAGCCCATCATTTATAGAATTATGTATGTTATTCCTAGAACTTCTTTACTAAAAATTATTTGCTTTCAGAAGGGAAGAAGAATTCTTTTTTCTTTTTTTAATATACCACTTTCCATGATTTAACTTGCAACAGCCCTAGACCAAGCTTCTGAAGTTTTGAAGCGCACCAGTGTTATGAAACTTAACATAACAAATTCCTTCTTGTCTTAATATGAGTTGAGAGCCACTGTTACAGGCACAAGTTGTAAACCCATGCAATTACTAACTCAAAGATGCTATCTCTAAAATGGAAGCACAGTTTCCTAAATTCCATTCTCCCCTTTAATTATTATATTTTTCAGATTTGACTAGTACAATCTAATAGACCTGAAAAATATAAACTTACTGCTCCATGCCGAGCACTGACATTCTTGCTACTTGGGCAGCAAAATGAGTGGTGTGGCTCTGCTTTCCTGTGACTTGCCTCGAAGACTTTGCTGATATAACTTCCAACATAAAGCTTGCTCCTCTAGAGAACAGACTAGAAAGATAAATAAAGAAGTACAACTGATTTTAGAGATAGATCTGGTGGAGGTTGAGATATGGGGCTCTGGAATTACCGAATAGAAGACAGATAACACTGTTCTGATAAGACTTGATAGTCCTCACACTGTTTATGCTTAGCAGCTCCTTTGCTTTCAGGTTTTCCTGCCACACACACAAAGTGGACAGTGGTGCAACCCCTTTGTTGTGTCTGACTCCATGAAGAAATACATAATTGATTTAGTTACATATTATGTGTATTTCTTATTTTTTTCACTAAAGAATTAAGGCAGTCTCTCAATGATCAGAACCTAGGAATACTTCATAGTATTATAAACATAGCAATTGACATGTTCTGTGGGGCTTTTGTGATTTTTTGAAAACTGTGGTTTATATTCATTGTGCTAAATTTTTCCTTACTGGCTCTGGCACCCCAGCTTTGGGTTGTGACCCTGTGGAAGAAAAATTCTTGCTTGACTGTGGTTCTTTAGTGGATTGCTTGTTAGCTCAGGGATTGTGGCCACCACTCATCAAAACAGGTGCTCTGGAGATAAAGCGCCAAAGGAAGAGAAGGCAAGTAATATTTATTCATTAGGTTCCAATTTTTTATTAGATGCAGTGCCTGAGTTTTTCAGTGTACTGTCATTTTAATAATTTCAAGAATGCTGGGAGTCTGGAATCATGAGTCTTGTTTTATAGGCAAGGAAACTGGAGTACAAGATCTTAGAGGTGGAATTAAATTCAAACCCAAGACTGTCTGACTCAGAAGCTCATAGCCAGTCTTTCTCTAGACAAGGGAGTGATTGGGGAAGAAGAGGACATGTAAAAGAATCTTAATTAAGTCTACGGAGAATATTTTATTATTTTTCAACACTACAAGAAAATAATGCATTTATTAAAATATGTAATACAGTTTTGATCAGGAACCAAACAGACATGTAGAAGTGACAACTAGTAGCCTCCAGAGCCCCAGCAGCCCAGAGAACCTCCTGCTTATTGTGCCATCAGCCCCCAAATTCACTCCGTGAAGTTCCCAGCAACTCTCAACACCATGTCAGAATCTGATATTAGGATTGAAGGCAGGCTGGGAGTGGTGTCTCACACCTGTAATCCCAGCACTCCGGGAAGCAAAGACAGGAGAATCACTTGAGGCCAGGAGTTCAAAACCAGCCTGAGCAAGACAGTGAGACCCTGTCTCTATGGAAAAAAAAAAAAATTGAAGGCAGATGGTAGCATAGGTAAAGGATCTAGGTAAGCATCATACCTCTAGAAGCTCTCAAAGTATCTTAGAAGGCACTAATAAGAAGGTAGATACCACTATAAACTGTTAAAGCTTGGTCTGTCATCAAGATACTAGAGCAATACTTCAATACATATAAACTACAAGTCATGATCCACTAGAGGGTCATAAAGTCAATTTTGTGGGTTGTAGCCAGTATTTAAAAATTTAATGGGGCCGAGCGCAATGGCTCACGCCTGTAATCCCAGCACTTTGGGAGGCCGAGGTGGGCAGATCATGAGGCCAAGAGATTGAGACCACCCTGGCCAACATAGTGAAACCCTGTCTCTACTAAAAATACAGAAAAAAAATTAGCTGGCATAGTGGCAGGCGCCTGTAGTCCCAGCTAGTCAGGAGGCTGAGGCAGGAGAATCCCTTGAACCCGGGAGGCAGAGGTTGCAGTGAGCCGAGATTGCACCTCTGCATTCCAGTCTGGTGACAGAGCAAGACTCTGTCCCTCCCACCCCCCCCAAAAAAAGTATATATAAATATATGAATAAAATATAATAGGATTATAATAGGATGGAATTTAAAAATACATATGCCATAATGCATCACATATTGTTAGTTTAACTGTTATTTTATAATACTTCTGTGTCTTATACAGATGGGTAACTGTAAAACAACACTTGGTGCACAAGATGCAAAAAAAGAACTTCCAGGAGTGAAAATATCCCTTCAGAGATGTTCTTATATTGATTGAGGCTGTGACTATATAATAAGTTCCAAGTTTGTAGACATTATCTGATGAGAATTTCCAATCAGGAAAAAAAGAAAGTTGAAGCATATTCCATTTTAATGTCATCACTCCCTAAAAGTTTGCACAACAGGCAGCTACAGTAAATTGCTGAGCTTTTCCCAGCAGGAACGCCAGCTTCAGATGTTCCTGCTGATAAGAGTGGCCACTTGGCAGTGTTCTCAGCAGAGTTAAAAGATTAACTTAGTACCAGTATTGGTTTGCTCAGCAGAATTTGTTTCAGTCCTTTGGTCATTTGGGCCACACCGACGGATTATTATATCCAGCTATGAATGTTACTTGTGGCAGGTATAAAAGGGAAATAAAGAAAATATTAAACCTTAATACTTTACCACTGGCACCCTACTTCCTGGTGTGTTAATTTTTCAAAAAAAAATCAATGAACGAACTTGCTCAATTTTAACTTTCTTTGTTTATTTTTGCCAAAATCTTTGTCTTTGCTAAATGTCTAACTCAACCTGCCA